CAAGCTTTTGAACTTGTGTATTTTTTTTATCTATATATATAACATTTTCATTTCGTCTCTATAAGTGACACTTATTTTTGTTTCATCTATAATAATAATAACTGTTATTATTATGAATTATTATATAATACATTACAAAACCAGATAACACAGCCAAGCAGAAAAAAAATCCTAAATTTTTTTACCAATTCTCAAATGAACGGATATCATTTGGCCGTATACATTTGTGCACTATGACGCCGCCTCTTTATAGAGGAGTCAGTGAAGACCCTTTGGAAAGCGTTTCCACCCCAGTGAGGGGGGTACACGTGTCTACCAGACCTCTGTTGCCATTTCTATAGCAATTCAACCTTCGTGTTTCCGAACAAGCCAAGCTGCAAGCATTGCGCACACAGCTGCTGTCATTACAGCATACATTTCCTTGGCTCGGAAAACCCTCCCCCACCCGATAATAAGGTCGTCATATGACCTGGCCAGAGCGCTAATCACACAAAAATGTATCTGGGCAAATAAGAGAGGGATTCCTGCATATGACACAGGGTCTCTGTGTGCCGAGGTCACTAGAAACAAATGAACCAAAATAACCCCAGTTTTTGAAAAGCTGTCAGGTTGTCTCGCGTATCTGGGCAGTAGGTGTGCGGAGTGAGACTCGTCTACTCTAAGCCCCTGTCAGGCTGACGTGTTGCTTCTCTGCAGACGTGTGGTGCGCGTCAGGGCACCAGGCAGTAAGGGATTATGAGAGATTTTTGTCCCTTCTTATTCGTTCTCATCCTCAACTCAGACCATCAACACAAGTCTTGAGCTCCTCGTTTGAGGCAACCAACCAAATACACCCCAAGCAAAGCGGTTGCCTAGCTACTGCAACAAGCTCTTGGTCAAAACAGCCAATGAGTGAAGCATTACAGCAACACAACTTTAATATATCTTTTAGGAGAGTGCAAAAATAAGAAGGTTAATTTTTGGAAAAATACTAGAGTTGAATGATTTTCATGATGTTTGGTTCTGTTAGCGTTTTTTTAAATGTCTGCATTCTCTTATTTCCTTCAGTGTCACAGTAAACTAAATGATGCTTAATGCTGTAGTTGTGCGCTAACAGTTCGAATTAGAGGGACAGACAGGCTGCCAGTAAATAAATAACACTGCTTTGCAATCTCTCTATCGTTTCGTCCAAACCGTTGAATGCAACAACAAACATTCAAGCAGAGTTGTACGATTCTATCCTGACTCTTAGTTAGTTCTTTTTTTAAAGAACAAGTCAATCACAGATGAACTCTTAGGCTAAAACAGTACACAATACATATCGTTTCAAAGCAGCTTTACAAAAAAATGCATGTCTACATTACAATTTAGAGTGATCTGTTTAGAGTGATCAATACCATCGTCTCTCTTTCGTGTCGCCATGTTTGAAAGCTTTGTGCGGAAGAGCTTCTGTGCTCCTATTGGTCAATATCACAGATGTGACGGAACCCGTCGTGGAGGGCCGGGAAAAACATTAAAGGGATACTCCACTTTTTTTGGAAATAGGCTTATTTTACAACTCCCCCAGAGTTAAACTGTTGAGTTTTACCGTTTTTGAATCCATTCAGCCGATCTCCGGTTCTGGCGGTACCACTTTTAGCATACATCATTGAAGTGGACAAGACCATTAGCATTTCTCAAAAAAAAAATGACCAAAGAGTTTCGATATTTTTCCTATTTAAAACTTGACTCTTCTGTAGTTACATTGTGCACTAAGACCGACGGAAAATGTAAAGTTGCGATTTTCTAGGCTGATATGGCTAGGAACTATACTCTCATTCCTGCGTAGTAATCAAGAAACTTTACTGCCGTACCATGAGTGCAGCAGGCGTAATGATATGACGCAGCGCCTGAAAATAGTCCCCAGCTCGGTAACTTCCAACGTGACCGGGACTAAGTGCCTGCGCCTGCTGCACTCATGGTACGGCAGTAAAGTTTCTTGATTACTACGCAGGAATGAGAGTATAGTTCCTAGCCATATCAGCCTAGAAAATCGCAACTTTACATTTTCCGTCGGTCTTAGAAGAGTCGATGTAACTACAGAAGAGTCGAGTTTTAAATAGGAAAAATATCGAAACTCTTTGGTCATTTTTTTTTTGAGAAATGCTAATGGTCTTGTCCACTTCAATGATGTATGCTAAGCTATGCTAAAAGTGGTACCGCCAGAACCGGAGATCGGCTGAATGGATTCAAAAACGGTAAAACTCAACAGTTTACCTCTGGGGGAGTTGTAAAATGAGCCTATTTCCAAAAAAAGTGGAGTATCCCTTCAGCCGTGCTTGTCTTTCTGTCGTGACATTGTGAAGCGTCACAAACACTGTGTCTGTTGTCATCCACTATGACACACTAGATAAAACTATTGATTCTTGTGTCCTGGCGGCCATTGTCGTATACGAATCACCATGACACCCAACGACAAGCAGATCGAATGAAAATCAGGCTGATATTGTGTAGTCTGAAGATTTTTAATGCTTGTGAAAAAAGTATCTTATGCTCACTAAGGCTGCATGTATTTGATCCAAAATACAATAAAAACACTAATATTGTAAAACATTATAACAATTTTAAATAACTGATTTACCATTTGAATACATTTTAAAATGTAATGTATTCCTGTGGTGGCAAAGCAGAATTTTCAGCAGCCATTTATTCCAGTCTCCAGTCAGTCACCATCCTTTAGAAATCATTCACAGTACAGTGAGCACAAAAACAGTATTGTATACTTGGAATTTTTGTCTATAAATATATAACAACAAATGTAGTAAATGCTTTAAAGGATCAATTACTTAGCTGGCACTTCCTCAAAAGTAAAAGGAATCATTAATGGAATCACTAAGGAACAAACTTCATTAAGTGCAAACTGAATCAATGCATTAAATTGAATCATTAGATTCTCATCCCTTGCGAACAAATCTATTCAAATTGAACTAGAATTAAATGCACACACATCAGCGAAAGTTGAGGGAACATTAAACTGGTCATCCATCTCAAATGAGACATGGATGAATTGAATATAGAGTTGAACCACACCTTTCCCTGGGCATCTTCCAGAATCTCCATATTAGCCGTCACGGCCCTCTTCCTCTGCTACCCGGACGGCTGAAGCACGGTCCAGTCTTAATTGGCCGGGTTGCTAGAGACGAGCACTCAACAAAGAAAATGGCTGTGCTATAAACAAGACCCTCACCGTCCATGCTCTCCACTTAAATTCACATTAGCTTCATGGAAAACTGCAAATCAGCAAATTGAGGAAGGCAGAAAGACGTACTGCACAAGACACTTCACTTACTAACCTTCCGCCGTTATGACAAACAAGCTTCTCCAACCTGCCGAGGCAGGTACAATTAGAATTAACGCAGCAGACCAAACCTCAACCAGCTAAAGCAGAAAAGTACTTATTTTATTACAAAATTCTAATCACTGAACATGTTGATTCATCATCAATGGCTCAGAACAGCTTCACCCTGGCTCTAACACAGTCATCATTTTACTCGACGGTAAAAAAAAAAAGTTTACTATCAGCTGAATTGACTCAGAATCTTTCTTGTGTATGACTCAGCTTATAGGCCTTTCTGACATTCCCATAATACCGCACATTTTCCCGTTTATCAGGGCAGCAACTGAACATTCAAATGAGAGAATTTTTTTTTTTCCCTTTTAAGCGCCATCTCTTTTTTTTCTCTCTAATCAAAAGCAGCTTTCGTCTTCAGGAGCTGCACAACAAAGCATGTAAGTTCTGTGTCACCACATGGTACTGATAAACACATGCTTGCACAAAAAGGTTCACAAAAGTTATTGCAAAACTGCAGGTGGGACCATTTGCCAGATTTGTGCTGCAGGGCACAGCACGTATTCTCATGCGTCTCTTCAAGTTCTGAGAAAAACAGGGCTGGACAGAGGCAAACTCTTCTGCATGCTTTACCTCTACAAAAACATGAGCACACTGAGCTCTATCTGAAGGACTACGACCATCCCAGCAGGCCAGGGTTCAACACACAGCTATTGAGTTCAGTTTTCTTTTCTATTTCGACTATTTCCTATTGAAACAGGAAGTTAGGATAGGACATGCATACCAATGAGCTTGTCCTTTTTTTGAATAGCCAACAGCCTTTAGTTCACGTCAGTCATGAATTTTGATTTACTGCTTGTTATTTCAACAGTGTTATCTAAAACAATTTTTGGCATTTGAAATGAAGCTGAAATACATTAAAATATTTATATTACATGAAAAAACTAAACTTAAAACTTAATTGAAAATGAAAAATGTTGCCTTTGGTGACAACAAAAAAAACAAGTTAAAGTACTAAAATTACTAAAAACTGAAATAAAGCTATATATATATATATATATAAATAATGATACTATAATAAGTAATAACACTCAGTTGGCAGTCAGAAGTAGTGGTCGACTAAGTTGTTAAAAGACAATACCGATATTCACCAAGCAATGTGGCTGATTGCCAGTTAAATGGAGTCAAATATAATACAATTTATTGACCACAAATAAAATATATACAACATTTTTTATTTTACTCAAAATTCACTAAAACACTTGTATCCGGTCCACTGACAAGGTTGTCAGTAGATTTTGGAACTGACAATTGGTGAAATGATAACAGATGATTACTATATTTGTCTAGTGCTGGTCAGAACAGAAGACACACATATTTTTTTGGATAGTACGCCTGTGAATGCAGGATGATTCATCAATATTTCTGGTCTGTTTTACCAGATTACTTAAATGAGTATATCTGCATTAAAGTTAATTACTGTATGTCAACTTTTACGAGTACGCAACCAAAAAGACGCCCTGAAATAAACAGACATGGAATAAAAGCCACAAAACTCCCATTTTGATTTGAACAACTTCCGAGGACGATGTCTTTTCTCTTCCCTTCAGTGAATGCAGAGCGAAATAAAACACAAAGCACCTTTATCCCATAGTACTGTACACACTGGAAGAGTGCTGAATCGAAAGCTTACCTCTTGCTGACAGTTTCTTTGTGTTAATTATTTTAGCAGCATATTCCTGGCCAGTGGATTTTTTCACACATCTCCGCACCACGGAGAAGGCACCCCTGCAAATACACAGAAGAACAGAGTTTGATTTCCCTTGAAAGTAAAAGATGCACCTGACTCTTGCAAACGAGGAAGAGCTGTCAGTCACAGATGACGTAACAGCAGTTCCATTATAATTTATTGATGAGAAGTCCGATACTTCATTTTATTGAACCGGTTTCAGCATAGATCCTGGCGTGGCGTATTTTATGTTTTATGTTAAACATATTGCTGTTTATTAAAGGGATAGTTTACTTGCAATTTACCCGCTCTCAAGTTGTTCCAAACCTGTATAAATGTCTTTGTTCTGCTGAACACAAAGAAAGATATTTTGAAGGATGTTTGTAACCAAACAGTTGCGGGGCACCATGGACTCGCATAATGTTTTTCCACACAATGGATGTCAATGGAGGCCACAACTGTTTGGTTACCCATATTCTTCAAAATATCTTCCTTTGTGTTCAGCAGAACGAAGACATTTATACAGGTTTGGAACAACTTGAGGGGTGAGTAAATGATGACAGAATTTAAATTTTGGGGTGAACTTTCCCTGTTATAAATTTATTGTAATGCGTTTATATTTACAATCTAAATATGATTTACATTTACGTGAAATTAATTATATTAAAAATCATTATAGTGACTCGAGTGTTGCTCGGACCGATTCACTCTGATTAGTGAACGAATCATTCAGACCAATTTTGTGAACCGGTTCGACCGATTCATTGAAAAGATTCGACACGAGTCATTCGGACATAACGATACGTATGAAAAAAAGAAGAAGTGTGAATTAGCAAATTGGCTCATGTCTGAAAAAAAAATTCCTTAACATAACACGATCTACTACAATTATGACATTTGCCTCTGGAAAAACGGGCGGCGTGAAGAGCACTTCGCATCTGCATGTTAGAAGGCTGTAATGCTCTTTCCAAAAGTGAGATTGAATTCTCAGAAAGGCGTCACTGCTCATTTATTGATTTTATAATCCCTCTTTATCGCTCCCCTCCTAAGATATTTAAGTGTGATTAACAGTGTGTGGCCACACATTCAATATTTTATTGTAATATCAAGTGTATACGGCTACATATTCTTTAGTGCGCTACATAGTGCACTTCTCTGCAATAATTTTAAGCAGCTGCAGAAGAAAATTATTAAACCTCTGTTTACAAGCATAACACAATCCACAATGTTAATGCCACGAAAAGTGGCAGCCAAATACCCAAAGTGACGAGGAAACCTTCCTGCCCATCAGCAAGCCCTTAAAATAAAACAAGGCGTGAACACAAAACACAGTGCATGCTATATTCAACATTCTACGCTTACATATACATTACTCAAAACCACTACAGCCCTTCAAACCTGACATTTAAAACGCCTAAAGCTTAGATCCGCACAGGGGGCTTGATCGGATCAAGTCCAGAACCGAGTGCTGTACCGTAGTGCTGTCTTGATCCGATCAAGCCCCCTGTGCGTGGCTTTCAGATAGGTTTACGAGTCTCTTAGCAAGTCATTTCCCCTGCTGTCAACATCCAAAGAAAAGAATGGAACGAAACAAACAAGAGTAACTTGCGCCGATGACGTCACACTGCTACAATGTTGCGCGCACTTACTTTCCCAGCTCTTCGTAAAGCTGATACTCGTCCGTAAACCTGGTCGAGGTTACGATTGTAGCCATGTTGTGTGTGCGTGTGGGGAGGGGGGTCGATGCCTCTGCTGCTGCGGTTCAGGTTTCGGGAGGAGAATCTCATGTGTTCCAGAGAGAGAAAGAAGGGAGATACAGACGACGGAAAGAGTGGAGGGGAGGGGCTGATGGTGGTGGGGGTGGAGAGAACATAACGCGAGACAACGCGAGACTTCCATGCAATCAGCAAAGTCACGGGTAGGGTGACAGTCAGTCAGTTCCTTTTCATTTATACATATATGGCATGGCGAGAGTAATGGCAACGAAAACATTTCATTGAATAAATTGTATAGATAGTACAATAAAAAGGGTGCCACAGTATAATAAAAAAAATATTATAGAGTAGCTATAATAAAACAACATTGGTATTTCATCCTTTCAAGTGTCCCTCTCTCTCTCTCTCTCTCTCTCTCTCTCTCTCTCTCTCTCTCTCTCTCTCTGACGTTTTTTGAAGTTATGTACTTTGTGTTAATTTTTTATGAATAGTCCGGAAACGTTTTACAGTTCCAGCTTTAATTTGTTTTTAAAGTGATGAGTGTCCTCTGGATAACATAAAAATAAGCAAAGGTTAGTGGGCTGTCATGTCCATAAACTTGTTTTATTCAACATTAACTTATGCATAAGAATTTGTAGCTGCTGGTGACAATTTATTTTTAAAAAATGTCATTATTTTAACAAACCCTTTGCCTTTACTAACTGGTCCTTTTGCCACTTTCAATTGTCTCTTAATGAATATGAAGTCATAAAAGCATATTTAGTAATTATAGAATAATCAGAAAGATTTTGTGCAAAATAGTTTTAGATGAATAATAGTATCAGACCACAGGACACTGATTAAGCTTGAAAACTCAAATGAACCCCATTTAATTATATTTTACAAAGTTCATTTTACAAACAATTGTTCATCGCAGATTACATTGCTTTTGCTCCCATTCAAATATCAGAATACTTTACTTCATCGTCTCGTCTGGCCATAAAGCTCCTATAAATCCCATTGCACTTTCAAAAAGACTTTGCTTGTTAGGTTATCTCACCTTGTAAGTGCTTCTATTCCTTCACTCAAGGGACAGTGTGCTCTCTCACTCTCGTGCCAGATTGCAAAGATGGACTCCGTTTAAAGTGTCAGGCAACGAGTTTCATAATAAAAACAAATGAGAGAGGACCAATAGGCTACATCACAAGACAAAAAAAGAAAGAAAAAAAGAAAGAAAAGAAAAGTAGGGGAGTAGGAGTTTAAAAAAAATGTAATATTATAAAACCAAAGTCTTCCAATAAAGAGTACAAATACATTGCTTTGGTACTTTTCATCCCTCTCAGTGTCTCCAAATATATTAGAAATTCCTCTTTTAAAAACATTAATCGTGGAAGAATTTTGAAAAATGTACATTTGTGTATGTAAAATTTCAGTAAAAGCAACAGATTAATTATTACTACATAAGATACCTTTTTATCCTTAATTAACAAACCGAATTTAACAATTTCCCATGACAGTATCAGTCTTATTTTTTGTTGCATCCAGCTAAATGCATTATTCCAGAATGCATTTAAATTACACTGAAAAAACAAATGTTCAACGGTTTCCGTTTCAATCTCTATAACTTGCATATTTGACATATATTTGAATCCCCAACACTAAATCTTATTCTTAAACATTCTTTTGCCGGGTATGATTCAAAATTTTACACTTTACATTTTGGGTTTGGCATGCCGAAGATCCGTTCTTATGATTGATTTCCACAATGATGAAGTCACTTTACATCATTGAGCCCATGTCAGTTTATAGTAGTTTATAGTTACAGCCTACTAAATGAAGCTTATTTTCCAAAAACTGATCAGAAATGCTGTTGTGGGCATCTATGAGTTATAGTCTATTGTTGATGTTCCTTAGCTCACAATTATTGGCCTGTGTAATCACTAAATACAAGCCATTCATAATTGATGCCGTTTTAATGTTCATCTGAAATATTCAGCACTTTCATCCATTAGTCCCTCAGTCATAAACATAAATCCGTTCTGGTCCATGAAAATGCCTCCAGTTCATTCAAAAGGGAACAGGAATACCAGAACTGTGGTTAGGGTTTAATTTCAATATATTTCAAATTAACAATTAATTCTGACAACAATGCTTTCATCGATTTTACTTCAAATCACACACAAAATGTATTTTGTTTCAAAACTGAACTGAACTGTAAGTGGTCCATCTCTTCCACCTTACAGTACTTGCTTGCCTTATCAGAATATATGCATAACTGCACAGATATCACACGCAGAAAATATCCAACCAATGCAAGCTTGACCTGAACATGCAAAACATGCACATCATTTGATTATTTAATATCATAACACATTTGTAGAATATGTGCAGGTATGCACATGACATCACTCAGCCAATGATATCAGAGGCAGAACTCAACATCACATGCAAACGAGATCAAGATTTAACCTTCTTCCAGCACCCACATTATTCCATTTTATAGATGATTTATTAAGGAAATCACCAAACTCTGCTTTCATGACGACAACAGTGTTTGCAGTTCTGATGTTGGTCTGAAACCACTGCATGCAGTTGACTTTCTGCAAAGGCTTTATGGCAGCCAAATGAAGTAAACTCCGGACATTGCAACTCATGCTGCAAGACATAACACTCTGGATGGAGGCACATAAATTAGTCATCAGTCAATAGAGATCAATGGGCTTATTTTCACCAGGCTGAAATTAGGTGTACAGAGTTTAGCTCTTGTCCGTGCAACGGAGAGAGGTCTAAACACATGGGCAAACTGAGGAAAAGCACATGCTATTCGCTCCATATGAATTCATAAACTGCAAAGGATAAACAGTGAGCGATGGCTCTATGAAACATTCAACAATTCCAATGTATGGGTTGAATGATTTACTTGTGAGTCAGTTTATAAAATCAGGCATCAAATGTCATCACATCTATGTCTATAAATGCTTTTAAAAAACGAATTCATGGGTTTTGCTGTATTTTATTTATTATATTATACATTTTAAACATGAATTGAAAAAACAATTTAAGTATATTTATTTTTCAATTGAAAAAAATATTTATTTTCATTGTTTATTTTTGAATTATAAAAACAATTTAATCTCAAAGTCAGAGACTTTATATATATCATATTATGACAAAATTAGTAAGAAACATTTAAGATTTCTGAAATTCATTTGAATTTTTCAAGTTGATTGTTATATATATCCCTACTTTATTTAATTTAAATGTCAAATTTAATTAAAATGTAATTAAATAATCGATTTTAAATACTTTTATTTGTTTTCAATTGGAAAAATAATTTATTTATTTACATTTTTTGTTTATAAAAGTCAGAAACCACTTCATAATTTTTCAAACTTCTTGAAATCCTGAATTCTTCATTTTTGCTGTATTTTATTTCTTATGTTTAACTACATTTTAAACATGAATTAAATAAACTATTTATTATTAACAATTTATATTAACAATAACAATTTTATTTACATTTTTTAATTTTTTTAATAATTTCGTACGCCACTTAATTTTATTTCAGAATGTTTCTTTAAATCTTCACAATACTCCAGTTCCAATGTGGTCTAAGATGAAAAATATACAATTGAGAATGCACAGTCCATCTACACTACACTACATCTTACTTCACATATGAATAAAGATCATTTGGATCATTTTAAAGACCAGTCACTCAGGCCTAAATATTTAAACACTGCATCAGTTAGTGTTGCAAACATGTTGGCAGATGTTGTGTCTTAAGTTAAATGTCAAGGATACTTGGTATGTGACTACATGTTTTCAGCGAGAGGGCTAGAGTGAGTGAGAGGGAAACAGAGTGTAAAAGAGATTGAAAGTGACAGTAAGAGAGAAAGAGATGTTAACAGGTGGAAACAACAGGAGAATGAGCTTTTCTCAGCTGTTAATGTCACTGGCTCTAATTTTCTGACCTGTCATTGGTGAAGACACTGGAGTCTCCACACGGTCCCTGCAGAATCCCTGTCACTTCTTGCACCTACAGTACTGTACGCTCACAAGTGCAGCACATTATCACATTTAGCATGGAGTGCTGTCCATTATCATATGCTCAGTGTATCACAAGTCACAACTGTTGTTACGGTTGTTACTGATCTTGTATCAGTTACTATCGACTACACGTATACTGTATGTATATATACACTCACCGGCCACTTTATTAGGTACACCTGTCCAACTGCTCGTTAACACTTAATTTCTAAGCAGCCAATCACATGGCGGCAACTCAGTGCATTTAGGCATGTAGACATGGTCAAGACAATCTCCTGCAGTTCAAACCGAGCATCAGTATGGGGAAGAAAGGTGATTTGAGTGACTTTGAACGTGGCATGATTGTTGGTGCCAGAAGGGCTGGTCTGAGTATTTCAGAAACTGCTAATCTACTGGGATTTTCACGCACAACCATCTCTAGGGTTTACAGAGAATGGTCCGAAAAAGAAAAAACATCCAGTGAGCGGCAGTTCTGTGGGCGGAAATGCCTTGTTGATGCCAGAGGTCAGAGGAGAATGGCCAGACTGGTTCGAGCTGATAGAAGGGCAACAGTGACTGAAATAACCACTCGTTACAACCGAGGTATGCAGCAAAGCATTTGTGAAGCCACAACACGCACAACCTTGAGGCGGATGGGCTACAACAGCAGAAGACTCCACCGGGTACCACTCATCTCCACTACAAATAGGAAAAAGAGGCTACAATTTGCAAGAGCTCACCAAAATTGAACAGTTGAAGACTGGAAAAATGTTGCCTGGTCTGATGAGTCTCGATTTCTGTTGAGACATTCAGATGTTAGAGTCAGAATTTGGCGTAAACAGAATGAGAACATGGAACCATCATGCCTTGTTACCACTGTGCAGGCTGGTGGTGGTGGTGTAATGGTGTGGGGGATGTTTTCCTGGCACACTTTAGGCCCCTTAGTGCCAATTGGGCATCGTTTAAATGCCACGGCCTACCTGAGCATTGTTTCTGACCATGTCCATCCCTTTATGGCCACCATGTACCCATCCTCTGATGGCTACTTCCACCATTAGACGGTGGGCCGAGGGGGGATTTCGTGTTTTCAGACGATCTCTGGGGATGGATAACCCAGTTTTTTATAT